AAAGCACCATCCTTCATAAACAGAGCGTAAAGCATGCAAGACATCCCCCCCCCCCCCCCCCCAAATCAGCTCACTGCTAAATTGAGTGGAACACATTCTGTTTCAGCCTTTTTTTTTTGAAAATGGTGCCTTAACTTGCTCTTTCATGACATTTCCACGGATGTTTGATTACTTCCACTTCAGGTGAATTGCTTTCTGTCCATGTGGTTTTGGATGCATCAGCACAACCACGGTGTTGTCAATTGAACAGCTAATAATTTAAATGGCGCGTTAAAGAAACTGTCCTTTTGCAAAGCAGTGCAAAACTTGCAGGGGGGTGCAATATTCCCCCGATCAAGCCCGGCCATCTTCGGGATCACACAATTCCTTCAGTTCTTCCAAAAAATCAGCATTAAATTCACGAAATAATTTCTGAGGTTTCTTTTAAGAACAGCAATAAAATGGCTTCAGAGTTTAAATTGAATTCAACACCTTGTCAAATTTCTGCACACTGAAAATACAACGGAGTGAATCTAGACCCACACTGAATTTGTATTCATACCTGTTTGACTCATTACATTTGTAATTCCAACAGCATGCATTTAGATAGTGCCCTTCATACGTGGGGCAGCGTCCCAGAGCGCTTGACAGTGGTAGAGTCTGACCCCGAATTCCAGAAGAGATCCAAGTACACATGTAACTAACTTCACGAGAGGGATTTTTTTTGATCAGCAAGATACAATAAGCTTCTTGTAACAAGGTTCTTTCACATTGATATCACAAAGAAGTCTGCAATACAATAAGTGAATACTAGTACAGTATTTAATGCACATATACATTACCGTTTGTCAAAACCAGTTTACACATTACCACTTCGGTTCCTTATCACGTTGTCGAGTCATCTCAAAGCGCTTCACAGGATTTGCTGTAAAGTGTGACAATTTGTAGCCCAAACTGGATTTGCTTTTGAGAAGACAAATTACCTTGTGGTTTGGTTTTGTGGGCAAACATCGACTCATTTGTGCCGTCAAGCAAATAACTAGGCAATTAATTCCCGTTTGGTTTTTTGCATGCAGAAGAATCCTGCCCAGGACATCAACGATCTCTGCTCTTCTTCAAAACAGTGCGATGGGATCTTCAACATCCACCAGAGCAGATAGATGGGGCCTCTTATCAGTGATTACTGCATGTTGCTGGGCTTCCAGTTACAAATGTCAAGTGAATTGAATAAGTGATTTGTGAAAATTTGATTCCAAGTCAATCCACTATTACAGGCACATCACTACACTGTCTCAATATTTTCCATCTTCACGATTATTTTTTTCAGCCGTGCACTTACTTGTATTGTCAATTCACCTGGTGGTAATCCATTGAAGTAATTCGATTGAAAGCATTTGATGGAATATAACCAGAATTATGAACACTGGGTAAGTAAACTGGAGGAAATCGCATTAAATGTCAGTTTCTCCTTTAAACGCGCTGAAGGCTTCACAGACAAAAAAGGGATCTCTTTAACCTGATTGTAATCGACGTGAACTCCAACCCACAGATCAGAGAGAATCGTTGGCGTTTTATAAGATTTAGTTCTGCACGTCTCAGCTTGTCAATCATCCAGTCACTGCTTGTAGGTTGCAACTCACCCAGAGCAGTCTGAGCAGACACCCCTGAATTCGAATCGATTTGCAAAAGCTCCATTTGAATTCCGATTTCAAAATAGTGCAGCCATACACCACTTTCACCCACTCATGTCCTGGAGTATGCAAGATTTAAAAATCCTGCGTGAGTGGGTGGAATGAGTCAAATAGGACATGACTCATCAAATTTTACATGATGTAAATGCAACCGCACAGACAAAATTAGGCAAATAAAATAGGCATTTACAACATCATCAATTTTAAGTGTTTGTATGTGGGTGGGGGGGGGAGTGAGGGAGGGAGGGAGAATGGGAAAGGAGAATAGCATAGCAGCTGATGCGAGCAAAACATGACACTTAATAAAAAATGTGTGCAAAGAAAATTCAGGGATTTAATCGTAAACAGTGAAAGTAATGTAAATCCTGTCCATAGAAGGTCTTAGTTTAAGGCAACAATCTATTACAAGCCAGCAATAATTTTCTTGATCTCTCATCTAAGACAAGGGACACTGCTGTGCGCAATTGGCTGCCACAAAATATACAATCAATTCACTTTACAGTATATTCTGTGAAGCGCTTTCAGACATCTCAAAGACGCCATAATACCAAATGCGAGGGTTATTAATATCAGTTTTGTCCACCAACTTAGTGGCACCGTGACTTTTCTCAAATTTCAATATACTTAACTGCCTCATTCAATTGAAAATGTATAGTTATAAATAGCTTTCAATAAGCATTTAGTCAACCTGGGCTAAGTTGGTTGTTCTCTACTCCTGCCAAAAGTCTTGCAGCTGAAGGAGTTGAAGTGTCTTGAAATAGTCTGCTAAATTCAGGACCACCTCCGGTTATATTTGGAAATCAGTTGCCATTTGTACAAGAGGATCATGCGTAGAGTCCAAAAGTCCTTTTTAAAAAAAAAAAGACTTGCACTCTTTGAAAAGGTAGAACTACGGTCACAAAATCCAACTGCTCATAAAGTACAAAAGCAAAACCTCGCGATTGCTCAACAGTTCGTCAATCTTAAGAGATCCTTTCGGAAAGTCAACTATTTCACTGTGGTTAGAAAGTTAAACATGGAGAAATTCCTGCCAATATATATTTCAAACCTCAAATCAGGGAATATAAATTCCCCTTGGCACTGGACAGACTGAATGATCAGTGCCCAGTTTATTCCCAAATGCGTATGCTGGCAGGCATAGTAACACTTCTTTAAATGACATAAGTAAAGCATATGCTGTGTGCTAGAAGCCAACCATACTTAGCAATAAAATCTATGGTTAAACATCATCTGGCAGGCTATGTACTGAGCAGCTGCACTTTAACAAAACTCTACACCCTGCAGCTTAATCTGTTCATTGAACACGAACAAAGTGGAACCACAAGGAAAATTCTGTGTTGCTCAATCACATTGCTTAAATCTCTAAGTGTTTAAATTATATTTAGCGGTCAATCATCTATTCTATAGAAGTGCCTAAAAAAAAATTTAACTGTCGTACAATTACATGTGTTGGCATTTTGCTCAAGTTTAGTAAACTTTTAAACTTATATTAACGATAAAGGTCAGATTTCGAACAATGCCTATTTATCTCACCTTAAAAAAAGTCAAAGCATTACATTCCTCATTGTGGTCATATATCAGAAATGGTTTCCTGGGTCCAACACATAAAACACAGAGTAATCTGGAAAACATCCACATAAACACTTCACCTTCTTAGAAATCTAATCCTCTTCTGCTTGTGCTGAGGTACATGAAAGACAAGATTTAATCCTCTATGAAATGCCTACAAGCTTAAAGGGATATACAACATTCTTTGTGTGCTAAATTAAATTAATTGAACGGTGAGCACTATATAAACAGTTTCTAGTGATTACTTCAAATGCTATGTTGTCTGTACAAAATTGAAAACTTGTTTAATATTGGAAACAATATTTCAAACTTAAAATGTACCCATCTGTTCACAAGTCTGATTATCATTCCTATAGCCTAACAAAAGTCAGAATATTATTATCTCTTCTTACAGAAATCCTAAACAGGATTTGTTTAAGCGACAGAGAACAAGTGTTCTATACTCTATTTGTGGACAAAACCATTATGAAAGGGCCATTGACTTCAGAAATGCAACTCACTGATTTTTGAAGTATAGTGTATGTGTTGTAGTCCAAAATAAGAATGTAAATGCTTAAATATTTCTCTGCAGGTTATAGTATAGAAGTAACTGTGGTGTGCAATACTTCCCATTTTGATCACTTTAACAATTCTTAGGAAAACCCAACCTCCTCAATTTATTCTATATTTTGATTTTTTATAAAGGTGATAAGATTATATAAATGTCATTTTACCAGGAATTAAGATAGTTAATTTCGAGACCATTCAAAACAGTACTGAACTCCCTTTCAGATGTCAAAAATTTTGTAATTCTAATATTTTACAAGATTGGTTTCTGCGATACAACAGTAGCAAACATTTTGATTGCCAAGCTGCGTTTAGAATCATTAATAGTTATTTCTTTGATGCTAAACCCTTGAGGTTTATTATATACTTGTTCTATGAAATATAAAGTTTAGCTCCATGAACACAAATACATTCAGAACATATGCCGATTTGCCTGGAAAAGTAGATGTATTTATCTTTACTGTACGACCAAGTTTGCTCAATTGCAACATCTTTTAGTTCAGACAAATTGGCAAAAATACAGAGCTTTTCCCTTCTGTAGCTGAGTAAAGATATTTTTTTCACATTATGAAAATGTGGGAATCCTTGTTTGACTGGGGGCTACGCATGCCAGAATCTTTCCAGTGATGACACTGGAATAGCTTCATACGAAAATATGGCATGCTCCATCTCCAAAAGCAAACAAAATAAACTGAGCAAAAGCCAACTGTTCTAGACTGTATGAACTAAACAACAACATGCATTTATATAGCACCCTTCATGTGGGGTAGCGTCCCAGAGCATTCACAGTGGCGGAGTCTGACAAGAGCCAGGGGGAGAGAAAGGTGACAGTAAGTACGATCAAAATTGTCTTTAGACAGGACTTCAAGGTGGGGAGGGAGGGGGCAAGGCAGAAGGATTGAGGGAGAGAGTTCCATTTTCAGGATGAGCAGAAGTCATGTTTTTAGTTCATACAGTCTAGAGCAAAAGGGAGAGAAAAACCAAAACTGTGACAGTTTGCACTGCACATTCAAGTGGTATTGTGGACATGACAACATACTAACATAGCGGTGCTAACATACTCCTTTGAAGTCATGTCCACGTCTGATACTGCAGTAAACATGAGGAAATTAAACAGCTTGGACTAAATTATATTATCTCAGTGCTAATACGTTGTTTAATTAAATTGCATATATTGTATTTCTTTAAAAAAGATACTAAGATTTAAATAAATTTAACTATTTTATTTGTGAAAAACTACAAGCAGAATTCATAAATAGACATTTCTATTTGAAGCAGTTAAAGAGGAAATGATAAAGTGGCTTCTAATAACATACTCGTGCACATGCCAGTAACAGGAATATATTAACATCTTTTATTTTCTAGACAAAAAGCAGTGTTGATTATATAAAGTCCCCAAAACATTTAAGACCTGGAAATAATTTTACCAGCTCACAAAACCACCATTAACACATCAGCATGAAGATAAAGAAAACAAATCTAGCACGCTGTCAGCCCTATTGAATTTACAGAGCAAAAAACTTTAAAAGCATTATACAGGACGTCTTTCAGGGCAAATGAAAATATACCTTGTATAATACAACAGAAAAGATCACAAGATTATGTTATGCCACTTTTAAACAAGCATTCTATATGTGTCTCCAATGAACAAAGCTAAAGAAACATCAATGTAACCATCTTTACACAGTAAATAAAGGTTACAAGTCATACACAAGAACAGAACTGCTTGCGCATTAAAAAAACTGTTCAGCTCATTGTCATTCTCTAAATGTTGGCTCTAGAACCATTTCAAATTACTTACAAGCAATTTTTTTTTAATATTTCCAGCAAACATTAAATTTTTCAATAATTTAAGTTACAATAGTTTATAAAAGTAGACTGAAATATTTTTGGTAAGGCAGATGAAGTGCCACTATTCCCAATAATGAGTTTCCAGAAATAGAAATGTTTTGTACAAGTTGTATTAACTTTGAAAGTGGCTTATTATAACGACTAACAACACTTTACCAAATTCAACTTGCAGAATTGCTGTTCCTTTAAAGATTGTTTTTAAAAAAAAAGTCTGTGCACCAATTCAGTCTACAGAATACAACAATATTAAAATAGTGACTTGTTCCCAAGTCATCAACAACATGCCTATTTGGCCGTGTAGTTTGTTATTAAGGAGGCACTGCAGAAAAGCTGTCAGGTCCTAAGTCAAAACAATTCTAGGCTAAGCAGCACACAGGAAGCTGGTTATTACCCTAAAGGACAGCACCTAATCAATTGAAAATTGTTTCCCAATAGATAAAGGGTCCATTCACATTACATGAAAATTGCACTCCGCATACTTCTGCCCAAGAATTAGATGGATTTTAATTATCTTTGCCAATATGTGTTATTCCCACCATATTTGATTCTGCACAGTAAATGTGCAACATTTACACATCTGTGTAAGGGATTATATTTTTTCAAATAAAATTCATTAATACGTTTACCTTCCTCTCTTGGATTAAAATATTCAAAGCTAGGCACGTTAGGCAATAACATTCTACACAAAATTTTAATAAACATTATATTTGAAGCAATTTAAGTAGTAACACTGCACTTTGGGGGCGTTCGATCCCGAAAATATAACTTATGAAATAGAGTAAAAAAAGAATGCGGGAAATACAAGAGAGGAGAGAAAAGAGATTGTGAAATCTTGCATAGTGCATCTTTCTATAAATAAAAGGAAAATACAAGCACCATATGCACTTATGTAAGCTAACACAGGAAAATAATTGTTAATGGGGCTTCAATTTTATAATAGACAAACTTTCTCTTTACCTAGAAGATAATTAAAAATCCAAATGGAAACTCTTCCAGAAGTGGCAACACTGTCAAAGACAGAAGTTTTTTTTAAAAAAACTTCCAATACATTAAATATGATTTTAGCACACAAATGTTTTTACTGGATCCCAGGTCAAATAAGAGATTGTTATCACAGTTGTAAGTGGGTTATATGCATCGCCTTAACATAAAATAACTTCCAAAAAAGCTAATTTAAGAGTCGTCAGTGCCAGCTTATCTTGGCCCTGTAACTGAGTAGAACTGGGGACTTCATTAATGATGTGCAGGTCAAGTTCCAACAATTCTATTCCATACTTGACTACTTCTGGGAAACCGCACAACTCCCACATAATGAATATTAAATGTTCCTCTAAAAAAAAACAGAAATTCATTGCACAATGCCACGTGGTGTATTTTTACCAACTACAGGAGCTCAGTGGGAACTGCTGTACACCTGTCCGCTCTGAATCTGGGCTCTTTATGTCACTCAGACTTGTATTATTTACAAGACCTTATAAGGTACAGAAATGTATGACGTTTACTTTAACCACCTTGGAGGTGAATGTTTTCTTAGCAAGCTCAGGAAATACCAACCTTCCACACCTAGATGGAAGGCAGGCGGGGGCAAACACAGAGCACCAACAAATTTTATTAAAGGGGGAACAGTTTTTTTTAAAAAATCTAATTATAACAAAATTTATAAACAACACCAGCTGCCGACCCAACATCAGAAAGTGAAAGGCGGTACCCACAGGCCATCAAAATAATGGAAGATTGTATTCATGAGAGATCAGCTAATTTGAAAACTAGGAATCAGTTGATTATAGATTCAGAATGTCCAATTTCTCTACTTTTCAGTGTTCACCCAAAGAACAGCCTGGATTAATGAGGAACACCCAGGTAATGATTCGCTAAAGTACACAACGATAGAAGTTTTATAATTGCTTCTGCTGGAAAAAGGTTACTAATATGCTTATGAACTAAAGAGAGGTTAAGCATAACTTCTTGCATCCTGAATCAATGTTTCTTCTGGTTTGGTAGTTGAATTTGGCTTTACAATGCAACAATTATCAATAGGTAAAATACAACAAACAGTGCTAGCAAGTGCAAAGATGGATTATGGATATTACCTATAATGAACAATTCTTCCCTTTTAAAGTTGCAGTGGCCGATAATGAAGCATTTTCCGTATGCAAATATAAACCAAAGCAGCTTAAAAGTTGGTGGGTAGAAAAACATTTTCAACATGAAGACACCAAATTATTTTTCTTTCAGTAATGCTCAAGATTGTTTGTACAAATTTGCTTAGCCTATGTTCCCGTCAGTCAGAGACAGGAACCAAATAATGAGTAGCACGTCCTGTGCAACTTGTCGTTGGGACGTCCTCCCGATGTGAAAGGCGCTGTATATATGCAACTTGTTGTTGTACTTTATACAGTACTTTGATTTAAATGAAGTGGCTTGTCACAAAATCTACTTTTCCCACATGTACAGCTGCTTTTGCTTGCACTTAGCATAAATTATCGGATGGCCAATTATGAGGCACTGCAGCTTTAAGCGACATTAGACATTACTTTGTAAAGGGGAAGAGAACAGGTCAGTAATAATTACAATGTTTACAGGACACGGAATAAAGCAGTTTTCAAGTAAACGTAAAAAGGAACCCATATCTATTGCTTAATAGACATTGACCCAATCCAGCTATTGTTCAGTTACCTCAAGTGTACTGGTCTTCAGTGCTTTTTTTTTGCCACTGAAGAGTTAATAGTCCTGAGGACAAGTCAGCTTTCATTTCAATGGTTTGCAGAAATACTTCTCCTCTGCTGGAATGCACTGTCTTAGCCTTGTGTCTGTTGAATGCTGCATTTACTTCACAGTGTATTAAGCACCAGTGTTTCTATGTGTTGATTTCTAATAACCTTTTATTCTGTTTAACTTTTGATAGACAATTAACATTTCTAAGATTGCTAATAAACAGCAGAGTTGCTGGCAACAAAACCTACAAAAGGATATGTTGAAAAAGGTGGAGTTTGCAGACATAATAAATAAAAGTCAAATGTAACAAAATACATAATGTACATGGAAATTGTGCACAGCAGATTTGTAAAAAAGTAGATTCAGGAGCACATCCATTATAAATGATTGTTAGGAAAATATAAAACCAAGGGAATACATAAAAAATGTCAAAAGTATTTATTCATACTTTTCACATTGCATGTGCAGGTCTGGAGCCAAGCTCAGAATGATTCATCGTTAACTGCCGACATTTCACCTTTTGGTGTTGAGGAACGTGATGAGCCCTTGTCTGTGCTCTCTGATCCAGAGCTACTTTGGTTCTGTTGCTCAGAACCTGCGCTGGACGTAACCGTTGATGATGATGTGGAAGACGAACGTATTTTTTCTTTAAAGTCTGTTATAATTACTGTAACATTACCCACTGTCACTGCAAGTTGCTGTGCAGTACTTCTGTCCACATTTTTCAGTTTAGGCCTGCGATTAAAAACACCAAAGAAATGCGTAAGACAGGAGCGGTCATTCAGCCCTTATAACAGAGAACATTTCAACATTAATTCAGCTTCGCAGAATCCTCGGAGAGGAATACAAATCTTGGTGAAACCATCACAAAAAAATTTACGTAGACTGTACGGCGCAGAAAGAGGCCATTCAGCCCATGCAAACACTTGATCGAAGCTATGCATTTACTTAGAAATGTGGAGATGTTTTCCAAGAGAAGTTTTTTTTTAACTCCAGATACCAAACATGTTCGTAATTCCAATATTTACCTCGTTCAAATATCCATTAAGGAAACAATAACATTCTTTTCCTCACGAGCTATTATGGAAAAGCTGCAATTCAATATTTAATACTAATTGTTATCTCCCAAATTTTAAAGTTTGCACTGTAGAGAGTCAGAGTTAATCCTATAAGCAAATTTTCTCGCCCTTTAGATCTTTACCACTGTTTACACATCACTAAGCCTTTTATAGACGATTGATTTGGACAAGGACCAGCAACATATAGCTTAATATGCTAGCTTTATTTACAAAGTTACTAAATAACACGTTTAAGTTTCAATGCTAAATTTCAGTACACATTCAAAAGGTTGAGTTAGCCAATGATATGATAAACTCGGTCCTTTCAAATGATAATGGTTGAATACAATTCTTTGTCCTTTTCAGAATCTTCCTTTCTTTGTAAAAGGCAATGCAACTTGAGTCTCTTTGATTTGATAAAGCGAATTACGAATCCCTGAGTTTGCCATTGTTCTGTTAGCTTAGATACTATGACCTAGACTTTCGAACTCTATTGTGTTGACGTCAAATTATCACGGCGCCAAAGGTCATTTGTTTCTAACGTAACTAGTTTACACAGAGAATATTGGCATTCCACTCATTCCAATTTCTGACAATAAAAACAAAATACAATGCACTATTTAAGATAGTAATATTTCTTGTCGAAAATAGATTGCTATTGACATCTACACTAAAATGCACTTCTGATTGAGACATCTAAATGGGTATGTGTTTGTATCAGAACAGAAAAACAGCTTTTGAAGTGTATAAACTGGTTCCTTCAAGCCACAGATCCTATCAGTTCCCCTTTTGATTTTATCTTTAACAGAGGCTGTGAATTTAGATGTTCACAAAACGTTTTGTGATGCACACACTTCAGGGGTGCTACAACTGCAGTCAAATCTCATTACAAGAAACCTTTGGTTACAATAGATACTCTCTCTGCACCCTATTTAAGATTAATATTGTTAGTACAGCTGTAGAGATGGAACTTTGACAAAGTAACCTCTAACCGCGTTCTTGTTTGATCAACAAATTAAAGCATTAAAGCACTAAAATCACTGAATTGTAAACAAGAAACAAAGTGTTGAAGGGGGGCATCTTTCATTATAAAAGTTGCAATGTACAAATCACAACCCAAAAATTTAAAGCCATTCAAGATATTGTGATGGAGGGAGAAGGAGGTGGGGGAGGGGAGAGGAATGTTAATAAAAAGGGCTCAGCATGTTTGCCTCAAATCCATAGTAGGTGTCTAGTACTTTGCAGCTCCAGCATATGCAAAATATTGAGGTTTGATGAATTTAGTTCACCACAAAACCACAACCACGAAAATCAGATGAGTAAGTGGATGACAAGTTATCATATTTTACATAGAATTCAATTATCCAGCCATGAAACAACAAGGAAAAAAAGCTGCATTTATATAGCGCCTTTCATATGGGGAGGACATCGCAAGGCACTGGACAGTAAAGGGTTTGCACCTGAGCTGGGGGTTGGAGTCAAGAGGGGTGGAAGGCAAGAGAGGTGGAAAGATGACCAAAGGCACGGCATGGTCAAAGAGGAAGGTCTTGAGACAGGCCTTGAAAGAAGGGAGGGTGCGAAGAGGAGGAGCTCCGGGATTGATGGTGAAGGGGGACATGGCCCAGTGCCCATCAGGCCAAGAGGTTGGTAACATTTCAGTTAGTCACAGATGTAGGGAGGAGCAATACCTTGGAGAGCTTTAAAAGTGGGGATGAGGATCCTGAATCTTTGAGGGATGGGGAATCAGAGGAGCTGGGGAAAGACAGGGTTGATAGGCCCAAGGAGTTTAGTGTATGAGAGGACACAGGATTCAGAGCTCTGAATAATCTGCAGCTTGTGGAGGGAAGACCTGGAAGTATGATAAATTAAAGTATGATAAAGTATAAACACTGGACTCCAAAGAAGTCTAAGTCCCTCAAATATCATTCAAATTTCACGTAGAAACTAAATATACTATAACCTAACCTGAGGAGATAGGGAGTATCAATAAGTAAATAAATATTAAGGGACCACACAAAGTATAGCTGCAAGTGAACATAGTGTGTTGCATTGTACACAAACTCCAGTTTCTTTTCAAATTTTATAGTACCTCAGCTGCGAAGGGCTGATGCATTCTAAAGCTTTAAGGATAATATACCTTGAAGTGTGCAAACTGTCCGTTTTTGTTGCCGCTTTTCCAGACTGTATACTGTTGATTTCACTAGGAGGTCCCTTTTCAAGCTCCAATTTCGGTCTGAAAAATAAAGCCCACTCTGTTGAATTCCACCAAATACAGAATACCCACACTCGTTGACCACAGAAATACTACTGCGGACTGATAAGCAAACAACATTATGTGTGACTTAAACAACAATACCGATTTTCCAAAACATTTGGCGGTTTTATAAATTTGAAATCTTCACATTAAATGAGAATTTAGAGCAAGCAAAGCTGCATAATAAAAAAAAGCAAAGAAAAATGTTGAAGTGAATCCAAGTTCTCCATAAAGGCTCATATGGTATGAAAGATGTTGGAGTTACAACTTAATTTTGTTAACAATTTATTTTTAAACCTCCAATCCAGAGTTTTAGAAAAATCCCAGTGAAATTTGGTGCAGAGGGATGGAAACCAAATGCAGGCTGCCAGTATTTTCATAATAAAAGGAAAAGGGCAATTGAAAGCATGCCGTAATGCAAATTGGGAAAAATTCAAACCACACTGTCTCAACACAATTGTATCTAAACATGTATGAGCACAGCACAGAGTGATTTGATTGCTAATTTCCTGTCACTCTACAGAGCTACCCATGCCAACTATCCACAAGTAAGCATCAGACTACAATGCACAAGTGAGAAGCAGAGCTGCAAGATACTAACAGCAAGAGAAAGGCATAGTGAGAAGCAGTTAGAGAACCTGAAAGAGAAGGTCTGTCACGGTGTGGAACTATAGTGATGGTATAACTCCGTAGGAAACACTTAGTTCACATTACAACCAATGTGTTTTGTATGATGACCAATTATCCACACTGTCTTTGCATCAGTGTGGATAATAAGGTCCTTACTGTAGTTTCTATACAGAATACTTCATTTTAACATTTTCAGATGAATCATTTTTTTCCTCAATTTCCTTTTTTGCTCTCCAAATGCCTTTGAAAGAATTGCACTTACTTTATCTTTTTGTTACTGTTCTTTTTGCTTGGATTTGGGCTAACTTCTTTTTCTTTGTCAGGCTTGTCTTTTTCAGCTTTTTCTTTCTTCTCTTTTTTTGGAGGTGGAGGTGTCGCATATTGCTGAGCAACTTGTTGTGCAACCAGCTGAGAATTTATTCTTGGTTTTCTGCATTTAAAAAAGGACTTAAGTTAAATTTTATTGAATCTTAACATAATTTGCACCGCACGCATGGACTCACGCACCTGCCATAATACCCCTCCCTTTTACAGGGCAAGGTTATGCAGTAATTCAAGATGAGAGAATTTAATATGGTAAATCCATCCAATAGTTCTTCCACATATCTGGTATCACTGTTCTGTTAAAGCTATGCACTCACTTTCTCATCATACACATCAAACGTGTGCTCAGGCAAAGGCTTATTACCTGCCCAAGAACAGTACAATAGATGCAAAACACTTACCATGGCTCAAAGATCAATATCAGTCTCGTTTATGAACAATGCAAATATATCTAATAGACTACAAATAAACAGTACACATATCTGACACAAGAATACCCAATAAACATTCTAGTAATTTCTGCAAAAGATGACAATACATAGAAATATAAATTAGCATCATTCACAAGGTAAGAGACACCCAAGAAAGTTTTCTTAGATGATCTTCCCACTGAAGTTGAAATTACATGAGATCTTTTGATTCAGTTTCTTTAATTGCTTCATGAAAGGATGGCAGCGGAAGTAGAGAAACATTGGGATGAAAATGCAATCAATATTCACAACAGCAAATTGTAAATGGAAACTGTACCCGATATACACCATGCCAACAACATGGGAATGCCACCTGAATATAAATTGTGTTGAAGTCCTCCTTGACCTTCTGCTGCGTTCGACACTGTTGAACGCTTTATCCTCATCCACGTCCTCACCTCTCACCTTAACATTCACAGTGATGTCCTTGAATGGTTCAGATCATACCTCTCCCACCGCCTCCACTTCATCTCCACAAACGGTTTCTCCTCTAGACCCCGCATCGTCTCGTGCAGCGTTCCTCAGGGTTCTGACCTTTGTCCCCTCCTCTTCAATATCTATATGCTCCCCTCTTGGTGACATCATCCGCAGACATGGGGTCAACTTCCACAGGTATGCGGATGACACCCAACTGCACCTGTCTATCACCTGGATGAGAGCAAACTTTCTTCAGTTGAACATCAACAAGACCAAAGCCCTCCTGATTGGCTCTCGTAAGCGCCTTCACACCTCAGGGGCTGACAGCATCACCATCCATGGATGCACACTCCACCTTACTAAACCAGTCCGGACCCTTGGCGCCTTGTTTGACCCTCAACTATACTTTCTACTCCACATCCGTGCCATAGCCCGCTCTGACTCCCCCCACCTCCGCAACCTCGCCTGGCTCTGCCACTGTCTCAAACCAGAGGCCACCGAAATTCTCATACACGCATTCATTATATAGAGACTTGACTATGCAAACCCTTTGCTTGGGACGTCCTCCCGACGTGAAAGGCGCTCAATAAATGGAATCTTGTTGTTGTTGTTGTTGTCACCTCCCCAACTCCTCCCTCCACAGACTGCAGATCATCCACAACTCTGCAGCCCATGTCCTCTCCCACACCAGGCTCCGTGACCCTATCTCCCTCATCCTCGTCCGACTCCACTGGCTTCCCATCACACAGAGGATACAGTTCAAGATCCTGGTCCTCACTAGCTTTGGTCTGCTTCATGTCCCCCACCATTAGCGAGCGGGCCTTCTGCTACTCTGCCCGCACTCTCTGGAACTCCATCCCGCAGTCCCTCCACCTCACCCCCTCCCTTGCCTCCTTCAAGACCCATCTCAAGATTTTCCCCTTCAACCTTATTTTCGATCACCCTCCCCAATCACGACCCCCAGCTCGGGTCCCAAACACTGACCATCCAGCGCCTTGGGAAGTCCTCCCAAAGTGAAAAGCGCTATACAAATGTACTGTTGTTGTAGTGGTGCTCGTGTGGGTCAATTTGATTCTCATCCAGTTACTGACAGGTAATTATTTGCAAGTTTTAGACCACCAAGGGCATGTGAACATAAAAATTCAATCTAAACTGTTCCAAGCAGCACCTCGTCAAAAAGAAAGGGATTCTAACAAGCCTCAATACTGTTTGAAATCCAGGTCTCAATGCTACGTGGATTATATTGATTGGCATCTTTCAAAAGTGTCTGACTAACAGCTTTAATCTCATTACTAATGACCTTTAATAAGATAATCTGTAAAGAACAGAGTATAAAATTAGCACCGTGTCGTTCACTCCTCTTAATCTAATTATGCAGAGTGTACTCCGCATCCCTGCAGCTATGCTAGAAATCAACGGTGCATAAAGCGCAAAAAAAGTGACCAAAAAAATTAACCACCTCCTGATGTGAGTTTACAAAGGAATTCAATCTAATGTCTGGACCAACCACTACAAAGATGACAACAGCTGCTACAGTACTTAGCTTTCTTTAGAGCACAAGCATTTGCACTAACATTAGTCAATTTTATTTAACTAATCTGCTACACTTGTTACCAGGAGTAAAGATTTAGAGATTAATCCACACAATTTTACAAAAACACTCTCAAAGAGGCTGACAGATTCAAAAAAAGTTTACCAGGTACCAATCAAGAATTAAAAAGAAAACTTTTTTTTAAAAAAGACAAAAAGTTTCACACAACAAAACAACCTTGTCAAGAATTCTGCTAAAAGAACCGGCTTGATCTACAATTCTGCTGAAAGAATAAACTATACATCTGAAACAGGTTGTGGCTTCTTGTGCTGAGAATGCTGTATTACAGATCACAAAATATCTGTTGATGTCATTTCCTGATTTGGAAATAACCTCCTGTCATGCAATACTATACAATATAAGTCATTGAGATTTAAATAAGAAGTCTCTAGTATCAAGTGAACTTTTAACTGCTGGTTACTGAAAACTCTTCACAATATAATGGACGTACATTCAACAACTTGCCACTTTGGTAAAGGGTTCTAAAATAACATGCTATTTGTCTTCCTCTTTGCTGCTCACTTTCCAGGCAGCAGACTGATAAAATGCCATCACTATAAAGTCTAGTAAATATCTGTATGTAAAATTACTGAAAATATCAGTGTGAACCTGAATGAGCCATACCTCATCCATTGCAGACAGAGGCATTAACATCATGTATTGAACCGCAGGTCCATACATCTGACAAAGATCCTGGTCAGTCACAAATCACCATAAATAGTGACAAAATTGCAGCCCAAACTGCATCCATTAAACTGAACCACGGCAGAAATAGGAATCAGATATGTTTTATACAATTCCACACAAGTTCTACAAAGAAAAAATGTGTTCATGTATACAAGTATGTTCCTTCTAAGTAGTTAGACTCAAAAAATCTTTCCACACTACTCAAGCAGTAGTCTCCCACCCAATGCATTGGACATGCATTATAGATCATGAATTACTTCTTTAATTGGTTAATTTGCAACCAAAGAAAAAAATCAAACCAAAACTATAATTTAAACATATTTGATGCACTTTTTGCAATGGTTAAAACCATGCGGTTTTGGTTTGCATACACTTGCACACGTGGGTAAATTAGCACCGCAGCACCAAAACAAGGTCTGCCCTCATTCATGTATTTTCTGTATGGGTCACTGGACAGCAATCAGGAATGTGAATCGGTGACAATATTTTCAGTATACAGCCTAGGGACACTGAGGCCAAATGTAGTGACCTACTTGTTCCGTGGTTGAGATCAGTAAACTCCGTACAGTCCCGAGATCAAAGCTGAAACTTTCCTGATCTGTAGGCATTGGCGAGCCCAGAGCTATAAATTGCAACACAAAATCAAAATCCCTTGATGGTTTCAAATTGTAGGGCTGCAACATTTCCATTTTCCTTCCATACTTTTTGTAATTTCTCCATTATATCCCTACAGGCTTATCACTTTGAAAAGTGCTTTGGAAACTCAATTTTGTCTGGAGTATCACAAACTTTCAGTGTTGGAATGTCTGCCCTGGCAGCACGATTGCACAAAATATTCCTTTGAATGAGCCTGCAATGCTCGCAGCAGCAATAACTGTCTGGTAAGTTCAAACATTAACATCTTGATCCTGCTTTATAATAAAAATTCTTGCATGCAGTCCTGTAGTGTAGTGGTTAGAGCACTTGCCTCGCAAGCGAGAGAACCTGGGTTTGATTCCCGGGCAGGGCGAAACGTTAGGCAAGTTTCCTTACTCCACACGCCTATCAGTAAGTAGGAACCCGGTTGTTAGTCGATTGGCGGATCGCTTTTCCGGGGGTAATAGTCACTTTAAAATAAATAATAATAATTTGGTCACTCAATCCACGACTGCTTGTGGCAGACTGCTGTGCGTAATTGGCTGACACGTTTCGTCCACAAAATATATAGTATATTCTGTAAAGCACTTTGATTTGTCTCGAAGATGTGATAAAGCGCTGTATCGATTGCAAGGATTATTATTTGACATAAGAGCCTCTGACATTTGGAGGACTGCTCAAAGTGCTTCACAGAATTTATTTCAAAGTGTAGTGACTGTGCATTTTTGTAGGTTCATTCTCAGATGTAAGAGTAAGTACACTGCAATCACATCAGGTTCACAGGTGTGTTGGAGCAGCAGCCAGTGGAACACGCATTTAACTAAAAGCAAAGGTTGTAGAGGCAAGAAAAAGTGTTTTTCTAGCTTGAAACATGTCACTGTGTCACTAACCAAATACGTTAGTAACCCACGGAACTTGGTGTCACATATTTTTAAAATACCAAAGTGTGTTCTCCTAATAACATAACATCCAGAAGGCACGTATAATTCCAGGAAAAAGTGCTTTAATAGTTGTTATTTACATAGCCCATCATTCCAAGTTTCATTTGATCAGCTTACTGCCAACAACATCCAATCAATCAAGTGGATTATAGTGGTTTCTTGTATGGTTTGCAGAATGAGAATGTTAGATTTATGTTTCAAAGGCAAAGCTTAACCATTCTCCTTAGCATCTGTGGTAACGGAACAATTTCACTCGTACTAAAGATGACCATCCATACCTCTCACAGGGGGAATTTATTTTGGTTGGCTTGAAGCAAATGGGAATTAACAACAACAACCACCAGATTACATTTGTATAGCGCCT